ATATTTAAATTTTGTTATTAATAAACACTGGAGATATGCATTTATAAGTAACATGGTTAAATTTCATTATAAATCGTTTCAGTATCTATGATGAGAAGTAACTCGTTTTAAATAAAAAGTAGAAAATTCTATATCTAAATTTATTTAAAAGATTGTTTTTAAAGTAACATGAATATATATATTTGGCTCTCTAATAGTAAAATTGAGAAAAGAAGGGCCAGAATTTCTATTAAAGTATTGGGTTTGGGCTAGACTTTGAAATTAAAATTTTTAAAAAGTAAACACTAGTAGTCTAATATTAATAATAAAAAATATATTTAAAAATATAAAAAATATGGTTCAAGTTTAGTTAAGATTTAAAAAAAATTAAAACCTAAATTAAAACATTCAGTTTTTAAATTCATAAAATCCAAACAAGCCTTTTTAATGATCGATTTTATTTAATTTTTATTGAGTTGCTTTGGTTGTCAATTTTATTTCAGTTTTACTCACCCTTTACCCCCTAGTAAAAGAAAAAAAGACTCTGACTTCTACTTTAATGATTTCTTAACAAATTTTTAATAGAATTTAGACAAATGTTGGTAGAGAGAGAAACTATGTGTGTTCAAACTGAATTTAATAAGACGTGATAAAAACTAGAAAGAATTTCCATGCACGGAAAGCCTAATATGAGGGTTCGTTGCGGTTATAAAGTCACAATTTTGTTCACTTCTTTCTTTTTTATTTCTAATTTGAATCTGAATCACTTAGATTAAATATTTTATGATTAAAATTGTAAAATTTAACAAAATCTAGTGAGTAAATAAAGCTAATTTTTTGGGGGGGGGGGAGATTAAGAGGAGCTTGATTTGACGTATAAGAGAGAAACTCATTGTAAAACATGCATGAACACTTGTGTGTGAAGCTCGGGATGTTACTTTGCAGTTTGCACCATGCTCACAGGGAATGTTTGCAAGTTGTCGACTTTCTGGTCAAGACGGCTTCACTTGGAGGTGGAATGCCTTCTCACTTTTGATGAAATTCCTGATGTTTGTATTATCCTGGGCTTGAACCTTATTAGGTATGTTAACTACTAGTCAAGCTTTGCTTGCCTTTTCATATTAAGAAAAAAGAGTTAAATTGATAAAAATATCTTATAACTTTTTTTCTAATCATGCCTAGCATTTTAAATTTTTTTTTAGAACATTTTTGTTTAAGAAGCTTTAAAAACAAAGCATTTTCACCTCACTACTAAAAATCGTAAACATTGATCGTTAATTAAAATTTGATTAGGATATTTTATGATTTTACTTCCTTTGTTTCTACCTTTTCAGTTTTTTTTTTCATTCATTGGAAGAATAAAAGTTAAATAATTCACTGAAAAATAAAATCAGAAACTAAACATAGAGAAGGAAGGTGGGGGGAAAATATAAAAAATATTCTTGATCAAATTTTAATTTAACAGTCAACATTTATAATTTTTTTATGGTGAGGAGAAAATGCTGTAAAAAAAAGTTTAGAATACCAGACGTTTTTAAAAAAAAGTTTTAAAATATTTTTACTCTTTAACCTTTAAAAAAAAAACACAAGGCTCACGAGTTCAAATCAAACGCATCTTAGCTCAAACACTCCAATAAGATGTATTATTAAAATTTCATTCCATTTTTTTTCATAAATAAAAAATTGTTGAAGATGAAAACTCTCATGGAAAACACCTGACCTAGAGTCCATCCTGCCATGCCACCAGCTGATATATTGATAATTGAAGCAATTATAATTTTGATATTCCTCTGGTCTCGCACATAAGCCAAAATTATCGTTTTTTATTTTAAATATAAACAAAAACTAAATTAGTATAGGTTTCCAGTTTTGCCCTTTAATTTAAATTAATTCTTTCAAATAGGAGCAGTAAATCTAGTCTTACTATTCTGGATTAAGCATGACCGAATTGTTAGCTCATCCAAACAATTAAGGGTGATCAAATATGTGGTATAAAAAAAATGAACCAAACAAAATTAATCATTTTGCACAATAAATAACACTTGATTGATTTTTTTATTAAGATTAGTTTGGTTCTATTTTTAGGTAGTTTGGTTCGGTTTATACATGTATCAAGTTTCAATATTTTTTAATATATAAGATATATATTAAGATTAACCATAATTTTTAACCCTTTTTTCTTACATATTCTAGTTTCAAATCACATTCTCAACTTTATTATTCAAATATAAATGAATAACATATCTAAAATAAAAATATTTAAATTTTATTATTAATAAATACTAGAGTAATCTCTCCACACCACAATATAAGTCATAATTAATAAATTTATGGTTTACAATAATGTCAATTAAAACCTTAAATTCTTGAAAAATTTCACATCATTTCATTTATATCTTCATTAAATGTGCTATATAAGAATTTTGATAATAATAATGAAAATATCAATGCATAATTTTTTTAAAAAAGTAATAAATAAAGTAGGGGTATAGATTAAAAAAACATAAAAGTGATCTAATATCTTATATTTTGAATTAGGTAAGGTTTTTAAAAGATGTCTTATATTGTGGTTTGAAAAGAATATATACATTTGAAAGTTACACAAATTAAATTTTATTACAAATTGTTTTAACGCTTATAATGAAAAGTACCTTGTTTTCAATAAAAATTGGGGGAAATTCTATATCTAAAATTATAAAAAAAATATTTTTTAAAGTAACATGAGTATAGGCATTTGGCTCTCTAATTGCAAAATTGAGAAATAAAGGGTTAAAAATTTTATCAAAGTATTTTGAATTTAGGCTAGATTTTAGTTGTAGTTGAAATTAAAAAAAAAAAACTAATAGTCTAATAGTGATAATAAAAAATACATTTAAAAATATAAAAGGTATGGTTTAAGTTTGATCAAGGTTTCAAATAAAAAAAATCAAAATCTGAACAAAACCATTCAGTTTTTAAATTTTTAATGATAGGTTTGAATTGCTTTTTATTGGATTGGTCTAGTGTGGTCAGTTGTAATTAGTTTTGTTCACCCTTACAAATAAATACTCTCTCTGGTTTTATTATATTATGATTTTGGTTCATATAGTTTTCTTTCCAATGTTATCATTTTTTATAGGGACTAAAAACATGGGTTAAAGCACATTTTTATGCTTAAAGTATATACCGAAGAGCAAATAATACTTTAATATTTTTGTTAGAGTAATTTTGTTCATAAAGTTATTAAAATAAAATATTTTTACCCTTTTTGTTAAAATTCTAATGTTGATATCAACGTTGACTGTTAAGACATAAAAAATCACAATATCAAAGGTGACTTGAGATGGCTAGTGGGTTAAGAAATTAATATATCTATTTACTTTCTTATAAATGTGGTTTAAAAAAAAATGGCATCGGATTTTGGATAGCATGCCATGCACGTTACTCGTGGCGGAAAATGGAACCATTTAAGAAATAATATTTACATTTTGGACCTTCTTCATTGGAGGTTTTTGTATCATTACAAACGGATGGCAGAGGCAGAGGTGTTTGTTAGCCCAAAAACAAAAGGCAAACTTCCCAATAATAGTATAATTCACCGTGCTATTCATGTTATATTTTAAGGCAAACTCAACCACGTACGCGTTTATTAAAAATTTGGTAGTTATATTCTTAAAATTATTTAAAAAACATGTACTTTTTTTAATTTCGTCCTCCTTTGCAGTTCGTAACTATAATAATGCTCTCAAAGAATTCAAACCATAACAAATAAATAAGAGATAAGATTGAAAAAAATAATTATTCTAACTTTGTCTTGAATTAAGAGTAATAATATTTTTTTCAAAGTTTGCTTTATAATAAAGGTGGGAGAGACTGCCATTCATTTTTAATTAATACTAAGTAGTTAAAAATGTCTTATATTTTATATCTAAGTCAGGCATAATTGTTTCCATAATCCACGTTATTTCCACTTTCCACAATCACTATCTATAATTTCATTAGGTTTTACATTTAGTTTTTATAGTTTTTCTTTGGTGTTTTTAATTTTTATAGTTTTAATAAGATTGGATGACGATTATTCCTCAAATCCCCATTTTCAAAACTTATTTAAATCATGCAAAACATTTATTTTTGCTTATAGTTGTATATGAGACTAGAGGGAGTATTTGTTTGGATGAACTAACAATTCAATCATGTTTAATCCGAAAGATATAAGACTGGCCATTGAGATGCATTTATTAAAGATTTCCAATCACCTTCACAAGTCGGCAAACTTTAACCTTCTCAAGTACTTAACTCGTTCAATTTCATTTGAGCTCTTTAATCCATCTCATTAGATTCTATAATTCGGGATTGGGTTTATTTAAACTCATTAGAATAAGCTTGAACTTTCAAAAAACTCAAGTAACCAAATCTGATTCTAATTTGTTAGGCTTTGAGCTTATTTGGGAGGCAAGAATACCTAAATTATAAAAAAATTTAAAAAAAATTTAAATTTTTACTTTAAAATTAATTATTTTTATTTTATCAAAAAATATAAAAGATACTTTTTGCCATACTTAAAAAATATGTAGAATAAAAAAAATTTGGATTTTAAAATTCAAAAATCAAAATTAAAATACATTTTAAATATTATTTTAATATTTTTTTATATTAAAAATATAATAGTTTGAGCATTTTTTAAAGAAAATATCCGTAACAACATACTACTTGAATATAATTTTTTTTTAATATAAAGTGAACCAGAACATAAAGATAAAGAATTAATTAATATTTAATATTATAAATATATATACTTCTCAAAAAAAATTGTTGTTCGAGTCAGGCAAAGTCCGATTTTTTTGGGCCTATTTGCATCGATCTAGATAGCCGGAACATTAAAAAAACAAGTATTTCACCAAGCCTTGCAACTTAAAAGAATTTATTTGAGCTTGGCCCAAATGTACTGGCTCTACATTTTACCCTATTTCAAACTTCAATCGTTTTACAAAAACAGCAATCACAAGTAAAAGCACTAGACATAACAATATTGGACTCGTCTATTGTCAATGTAAGTGATCTTTGATTATTTTGAAAATCTTACGCAACAAAGAGACAGAGAAGCACAAGTAGAGGCACACTATTCAGCATTTTCCAATACCAGTAAACAATCTCGAGACAGCAAAATAAGATTTAAAGACCCACTAAGAATAACCATAAAGCTTTCTTAACTATCATCACTGATATAATCGTTTGAACTTGGCATATCTCAACTCAAGGAGATTGAGAAAGAGACGTAGGGTATCTGTCGATGCAGTGAAGCCAGGGGTTGGCAGTGGGCCTCTTGAGACGGCGCATGGAACGCCAAACTATACTGTTGCACTTGAAGCCAGACCCAAAAGCTAGTTGCCAAACACGGTCTCCTCTTCCGACCCTCTCTTTAGCTTCCAAATAAGCGAGTTCATACCATATGCTGCTGCTTGACGTGTTGCCAAAACGGTGCAGGGTCACCCTGGAGGCCTCCATGTTCTTGTCACTTAGTTCCAGGTTCCTCTGTAGCTCGTCAAGAATGGTCTTACTGGCAGCATGCACACAAAAATGTTCAAAGGCAAGTTTGTAGTCTGGGATGTAAGGTTTCTGTGGAGATGATGAATTGCCTCCTGCAGATTTACCACCAAATAGGTGCCTCCAGACCAAGGTGGCGAAGAAGAGAAGCTGCTCTGAAAAGGGTAGAACCAGAGGTCCTAGTGTCGTGATGTTGGTTTTGAGCGCATCACCTCCTATTTCCATCAGGTCCTTGCTCACCTTCAGCCCCTTGAATTTTTGTTCATCTTCCTCTTGGTATACGCACCTGTTTTGTATGGGTGGAAAGTGAGTTTGCATCTCAATCAATGACTCAGAACAGAACTATCTGATGTGAAAAGTGAAAAACAGCTATTAATACAGTTCTGGATACTGCTTGGATATTAATTACGGTGACATGATCCCACATAAATCTCAAAATAGTTGGCCAATTTGTGAGGAATACAAGGAAGTTTTACTTTTGAGGACTTGCCATGCATGGAGAGCTAAAATTCTCGTAATAAATAACATCTTTAGGACTCCCAAATCTCAAGTTAAGATACATATAAGATCTACTTTAACGGTAGGTTCTATTTGAATGCATGGAATCCACACGCTCTTTGCTTATCTGTCTTTGGAATTGACAAGAAATTGATTGAAAATAAGAAATGAAGATCCAAATCCAAACTCTTTAACTTGCGGTGCATTTACGTTCGCAGGCCCTGCACGAAACCACCGTCCTTATTATCGTTAACTAGAGCTTCTCTTTTGATCCAGAGACACCTTAGAGGAAATTTGCTGGATCTATTAATCTTTTTTCTAACCTTATCTCCAGAGGGAACTATGACACGGTACGAATTGAAGAACAGCCAACCACGTTACGACCAACTGAAAGCTAATAAATTTACATAGTACATAAAGACAAACAAGGGGAAAGGTAGGATTTCTGGGGAAAACACACAGCAAAACATTTTGAAGTTTTGAGAGATTTTTTTTTTAACAGTTTTGAAAAATTAATTTTGGTGTGAGCCAAAGTGGAACTTCTCTAGTTTCTTGGCTAGCAAGGGATATGATCAAACTCTCAACTTTATATCTAGTTTCATTTCACTGGAGCTATCTTGGAGGTGTATACTTGTATTTGGCATAGGTTTAGCATCCTGTTCTCTACCCTTGACTCGTTATAAGCTACCGCTCAACCAACTGGCGTATTATGAGTTATGACCTCTTTATCAGGTTCTCATCACATCTCACACTCAAAGTGTGAAGTGTTGCATCGAAATAAATTTCCTTCACGAAGCTGGAAAGCAATGGGTGTCAAATATAACTATGATGTCACCATTACCAGACTACAGATATTGTAATATCCATTCTAATGACCCATCATAAGAGATCAAAGATGGATGCGAACAATGATTTAGAAGACCAGAAAATCAAGGATTAAGACTAAATAAAGGAGTTGCATATACAGCTGAGCAAAGCTAACCTGAAGCTGCGGTCGTCGGCACCTTTATGGGTGCGAACAATATGTTCGAGACGGTACTTGGCACGCCTATAGTCACGACGACGATTGGACAGAAGAACAGCAGAGCAACCCATGCGAAAGAAACAGTTTGGAATGAGCATAGATCTCTCCTTTCCCTGATACCAATTGAATCCTACCATCTCAGTGCTCACCACCACAGCATAATTGTTTGGGTTGGACTGAAGCATGTCTCTTGCCAAGTCTATGGCTATAATCCCAGCACTACAGCCCATCCCACCAAGGTTGTAACTTAGAACATTTCCTCTCATCTTATAGTGGTTTATGATCATCGCTGAGAGTGATGGTGTGGGGTTGAAGATGCTGCAGTTCACCACTAGAACACCCACGTCCTTGGGACGAACCTTGGTTTTCTCAAACAGCTCGTCCAGTGCTCCGAACATAACCGTGGATGCTTCTGCTCGACCTTCTTTCATTGTTGCGCAGTTTTCACTAGACGCTATCACTGCCTTTGGGATGTAAGTCTCGTCCCCTATGCCCGACGACATTAATATCCTCTTCTGGAACGCTAAGCTCTCCTCGTCAAACTTGCCTGATTTTCTTGCTAGCTCAATGAACTGCTCCCTTGAGACCTGCGCATATATGCAATAATATTTCAACAGAGACTCCATAGGTATACTATGATTATGCAGTAATTCAGTTCAGAGTTAAAAAGTTGAAACCTTGAGGTCGTCGTTGGGCTGAAAGCATGCAAAATCAATGAGGTAAATGGAGCGAGGCTTTGACATGAAGTAAACAGACAAGGTGAAGACAAAGACGCCGAAGAAAGCGAGGACGGTGGCGAGATCGTAGCAGGCATCTTGCCAGAGCTTCTTCCATAGCTCTTCTTTGCTGAGGCTGCCGACCTCAGCGCTGAACACCAGAAGAAGCACAGGAATGGTGACCAAGTAAATGCCATGGTTTATGAGATAATGGTAACCCAACTTGACGTACTTGAGGTTGACGGACTGAAGAAAGTCCGGCAGCCGCCGCCTCACCCTCACGGAGAAGGTCAAGGAGCCGGCGTTGGGACCCGAAGATTCAATTCCACGGTTCACAATCTCCGTGGAAAAAAGATCGCGTTCATTGGCCATGGTTGGAAGTGATTGCTGAAGTATCACCACAATCACTGATAAAAGGTTTGAGGGATAATGCTGATATTGTGCGTGCGTATATAGAGGAGGCGGGTGAAGATAGTTAATGCCAGCACCTAACTGAAGTTGAGCGTAGTTGAGGCTTTTCAACGCCATTTAATTCCTTCATTCAATGCAAGTGGGTGTGATGCAGAACGGGGAAGCCTCAGTCCCAAGTTCAAAAGAGGAGATGGAGGGAAGAGACCACACACCATAGCATGGTCTCTCGCCTTTGATTTTTTCAAACAATAATTAAAAAAAAAAATCTGTGTGGACATTTATATCGACCCAACTGTGTCTCTTGTGAACAATGAATGGTCACGTCTGAGGACCCCAGCTGGCTTTCCTTGGGTATAGATACGGTTAATTAGGCTACCATCTCTCTTTAATCTTATATCCGTTTTTCCACTGCTCCATACTTTTTCCTCATCATCTTAACTTGTTATCAACTAACCTCTTCAATTCTTTGTCCAAAAAACAAAACTAACCTCTTCAATTCCATGAATCTGATTCAGTCAATCCTCTCTCTTGCTAATTAATCACTGTTAATCGAACACGAAGAATAAGATATGAACAAATATAACAACATCGTTCGAATATATCTGATGTGGCTTCCGTAACACAATCATTTGAACGTCAGTAACGATGAATCGAATAATAAAGTTGTAGTAACATGATGCTGAACATATACATGTTGTGCTCTTCAAATTTGAAATATTGATACTGAAGATCCTAATTCATGTTTGATTCTAAGAGAAAAAATAAAATCAAAGACTATGAATGTTGGTCGAGAGATCTTCCAAAATCTGTCATGGCGCAACACTTCCTCCCCAGTACTCCTTGCACTCTGCAGATTCTCTTTGGTGTAATTTGATTGTTCCTCAACAAGAATGCCATTTGTTAATCTCCTAAGTCCTGATACTAGGCATGCAGTGACCTACTCTTCCACAGGCTCCTGTCTATTACTCAAATTGCCAAAAGTGTCAAGTTGTTGATTGCGCTTGTGTTTCCGCAACAATATTTAATCTCTCAACTCTAACAAGAAGCATCATCACACGCCTCAAGTGCCTAAACACCTTACAAACTATAGCCCAATTATTGCTAACTACTGTTTAATCTCATCATTTCTGGCAATTTAATCACACGAAGTGCAGGGCAGAATTCTATAACTTAAATATTTCCTTTGTTCTCATTTGTAAGAAAAATTATTATTTTTTACTTCTTTTTATATAAGCAAAATTATATCTTTCTATAAGCATTTATTATATATTTTTTAAATTACTCTTTATAATTTACATTAATGAAAAATAATTAATGCATGTTTATGTTAATTAATATAGGACATTTTAGTCCAATTTATTTGTTTAAACATAATTATTATAATTAATCTATTTTTAACTGTGTAATATAATTTTTTTATATATATAAAAACGGAGAAAGTAATTATCATAAGTTCCGTATATTACACTGAATTTGATAAATAAGTCAGGCTATTCACAACTCGTGAATAGTGCAGTTTGTCAAAGTTTGGGTTAAACGTGGACCTAATCTAGAGGTTCAAAGCTATTTAAATATTTTAAACCATGAATAATTAAACTTAATATCTTACTGTTAATTTTAAACAAACTTCGTTGTGCGTTCAGAAATTCTCTCTGCCCCTTTTTGCCTCTCCCCTCCCTCCCTCTCTTCGTCTCTCTTTAATCTGTTGTTTTCGTTATTCTCCTTCTGTTCTAAAGACTGCATCATGTCTCCACTACCATTGTACGCACTCTGGGCTTCATTTTCGCCTCGATCCTCGTCCCCCATTGACGTCTCGGACGACAGATCCCTGTTCCTGCGGATGGAAGACGCCGAAGAAGACGACATACTGCACTTATCATCGGCATTCTTGGCCGGAAGCGCGCGATCTCCACCACTTATGGCGTCTGGCTTTCGATCTTGGGAAGAATCGAAGAAGGCGGAGGTGCATGTCACGGCACGCGTTAACCGAGAAGATGCAACCCTCATATCGACTGTTTCAGCGTACGTAAACGCAGTAATTACCGGACGACGACAATTGTTCGCAATGCAAAGCGGGAAATATATGAAAGTAAATACGGGGAACCGGCGGAGAAAATGTACAAGGCAGAGACAAATGACGTGGACGAAGACGAGGGAGAGTATAAAAAAATGGAGATGAATGGAAAAGCAGATGAGAGGGAGGAGAGAGGGAGAGAGAATTTCTGGACACTTGTGCATGAAATTAACAGTAGTTATATTGTTTCAAATTTAGTTCTTTAAAATTCAAAATATAACAAATAGTTTAAATTCCCAGTGAATTTATAGTTTAGGGGCTATATTAACCTTGAAAATTTTCATATTATATGTAGATATATAAGTTTATTACAACATAAAAAATAAACTTAGCAAGAGCAGAGTAGGGAATCCATAAATAAACCACAACCACTTGCCTCACTTGCTGGCAAGTGACCAGTGAAATAATGCAAGTGGAAGCTGGAGGCAGGGTGTAAATTGTACAGTGTATGGGCAAGCAGCCCTATTTTGAATTTAAGGATTTCTGATGGTTACTTCACTGTCTATAAGAGACCATGCTAAGCGAGCATGATACAGAATACAGATTCCCGCAACCAAATTTCCCAATATTGTAAATTCCCAAATTTCCCAAAAAGAAGGTGAACGTGACCAGCAATTTACATAAAACTTCTTCCTTATTTAGTTATTATTGTTAACAGTCCATGGACCACATTTAAACGTTGCAGGGAAAAGGCCAGGGACACGCGTGACCCATCTAGACCAATCCTTTTTCCTCTGTTCATCCGTTTCATGGTCTAAAGGGAGCACCTAAAGCCAAAAGCAGAAGAAATGTCCAGAAGAATTCTCCGTAAAACATGAAAATACACCCAAGTCACAACCTCAGAAGACAAATCAGCCACAGTTCACATCAACTTAAAATTAACAACCAAAATTCCACCATCGTTTGTAGCCAGAAGTTCCAGTCTGCATATATTCAGGGAGAGATGTTTTGGTACTGGTACAAGCCCCCACTTAGGCCTGTTTTTAATTATTTCATCATGCGAAAGTAAGCTTCAAAACAAACAATTATTTGGCGAGAAACATGCGTCATGTCGATATTATTCTGGCTTACAATTTGGTATAACAGTGTCTAATCTACGAAAAGGAAGTAGAAACTAACACTTTTAATAGGAGTGGGCTAGGTAGGTGAGACGCCATTGATTCCGGGCTACTTTGACAGTGACATACAGCTGAAAGGGAGGAAAGTAAATGTGTTCAATAATGAAGATCATGGCAGATGTAGATGAACATGAACCAGCTTTTTCACAAGTGAAGCAGAAGCATCTAATTAAACCTATAATGATATGAGAAGAGACGTGATAGTCTCAGTCTATCAAGCAAATATTTCAAGGATCATAAAATTTCACGGCCATTTGCTATTCCTGTCACGCTGACTCGTCTCAAACATGTACAGCTCTAATTTCTCAGATCTACCCATAAAATAAAAACATTCACGAAAAGAGAACAACAGTGCAGCATAAAAGGGTGTGGAGGAGAAGTGTTGAGTCAAAAAAATTTCAAATAGGGTGTCTCGTGATTGACCGTCTGCTAAAAAAGAATAATTTATAACACCAATTAGAAGGTTTGAGTTTGAACAAAGGGATGACTGCTGAGTTTTCTGTCATGTTTGATGTCGCCAAATTATTACCCTCAAATACATCCTTTCCCACTGAAAACCAAATGACGCATGTATGCTAAAACAGAGATGCAAATGTTAATTAGCAGTAAAATAAACTAGCGGTTCTTTCAATAGTGAAAGCAATGTTGCCTAGATTAATTAGACCATTGTTATCTTATGATTATCATAACATTAATTCGCAGAGAGACATCTTTGAAATGACTTTAGATTTCGCATATATTATGGAGGACATGATCAGAAGCTTAATCACGTTGATATTTCATAATGGATGGGATTAGGTAGAGCAGGTTTTTTTTTTTTTTTACCAATATACTATAAACAATAAAAGAAATTATCTAAATGCTGCATCATAAAAAATATTTACCCAAATATTACATTAAAAAATATTCAAACAAGAAACGAGTTTGTGGTTGTGAAGAACTCATTTAGGCTAGGAACAATTTTGTAGTTAAAAATTATTTTTTTATTTAATAAAAAAATAAAATCATACATCTAGCCTTTTTATCATCATTATTGATATAATATTTTATTTATTGTCAACTGCGGGAATCTTTATTTTTTCTTCCTACTTTGCCTTTCTTGTGTGATGCATTTATCAAACCTCTACATCTCTACCCATGTGTATGTCATCACGTGAAGCTCTGAATGGCCTATACGATGGAATCACTCCTGCCTGCTTCATTCCGTCTTTGTGGTCTTTCTTTCTTGTTCAAGGTTTGCTATTTCTCTTCCATTTCTCTGCTTCAATTGATGGTGTTAATGTTGTGATTAGAGTTTAAAAGGTGCATTTTCTTTGTTTTTATGGAGACCGGTTTTGATACTCATAGTGTGATGAGCACCATAATAAATAATCTAGACTGTTCAAATTAAAATTTTAGAAGGTCCAGATTTATATATTTTATTCTATATTTAATAAAATAAAAATTATAAATTTTAATAAATCTATTCTGTCATGGATTTAGACAATATAGATTTAATCTGAATAGTAAATTTAATATTAAATATTTTTATAATTTTTATAAATTGACTATTTAAATATACTTTGCATGGTCTAGATTTAAAATTTTTAAATTATAATTTTTTTTAATTTTTTAAAAAATTCAGTTTTAAGATTATCTTTATTTTTAATTTTTAATATTATATTTACTAAAATAAAATTTTTAAAATAATTTAATTTTAAATTAAGACTATCTAAAATATATCTGAATAATTAATTTATAAAATTATAAAAATATTTAATATTAAATTTATCATCCAACTTAAATATGTATTATCCAAATTGATAATAGAGTAGATTTATTAAAATTTAAAATTTATATTTTATTAAATATAAAATTATAAAAATTTGGACCGTCCAAATTAAAACTTTGAATGGTCCAAATTGCTCATCATGTGGTGAGCAGATGAGCATTGAAACCAA